TAAAAGGAGTCCTTTCAATAAAAGAACCTTTGTTTTAAGAAGTTAGATAAGGGCTCTCAGTTGGGCTCCTAGGTGCTCTGAGATAACTTTTTGCCTTCAAAGCCCTGGACTGCCCCACTTTCCATGCTTTATTAACTCCTTTTACAGACTGAGCATATTTACATGAGATTTTTGCATCCGAGAATCAGATCCATGTTTGTGTGCGTGCAAAGGTCAGCTAATTCTTATTTCTGGCTCTGCATCAGTTTATTTAAGATCGGAGCTAATCTGAGAGGTGCTTTTTTCCCTCCCTTTTGACTCAGTGTTAGCTCTTGTAGGCAGTTTGTTTTTCCATTGGCAGGAATTTTTGCCTCGCCTTGCTTTTAGGTCCTGGACATAAGATAACCACCTTCTTGGTAGTTATGCTACTGCTTGCCTACTCTCTTCTGCTCTCATCATTCCTGTATCCATCTGCTTGAAACAGTTGCATTTTTCAGAATTTTGCTTTTTTATACTTGGATCAATGACCACCCCACAGTTCACTAGATCATTAAAATGATTCTTTAAAAGACTGGCGTTTTTTTAAGGCTATCATATCACAAATATGTTGTACTTATACTAGGTCCAAAACACTTCTTCCAAATAGTTTTTCATGCATGCAGAGTCATAAAATACACTGACTTTCCTATAGAAGTTTAAGGCATCATAAGTAATAGTCCTCTAGTTATCATCACAACAACCCTGAGATTAGGATAGGCTAAGATGTAATGACCAGTCCAAACTGATTTAGTGAATTTCATAAATAATTTGGGATTTTAAACCTTTAACTCCAGAATCGTAATCCAAAGAACTAAATCACTTCAGTGCATACATAGCACAAATCCAAATGTGGTTTGTTTCCGACTTAGTGCAATTTCTGAATCTGCAGAATTCTGAGTTATTAAGGTGTACAATGGTAAAAAAGGAGACATGACCAAAATACATGTTAGCTTAAAGATGTACTAACGTCTTCTTAAATTCTACAGTAAACATTTGAAGCTGTCTTGATCAGCATTTAGCTTGGAACGGTGGTTATGTTTTAACGTTTTTGTCCCCCTGCTGCGGACTGGACTGGCTCCCATATGCCTGCTGTTTCCTTTGCGAAAGAAATATACACAAGCAGATTCATTTACAGCCTTTATGTTCTGCTTTCGTAGCAGCAGTAGGCAATGTGTCAATTGACAGAGCTGCCATCTCACCAAACCAAGTGACTGGGTGGTGTACAGCAAAGCTAAAACTGTTTAGCTGCTTACTGTTTCCCCTGGCAATCATAGACATCGTACTATTGGGGCATCGTGAAGCTCTATCCCAGTGTTACACAAATGAAGGAGCCATCCCCTAGGAATACACTATATTTCAGCAGGAATTGAACCTGCAGTTTGGGAATATTCATACATGGAATGGTGCCTCCTACTGATGACCATAAGGAAGCTGTTAAGCTTTCTGGCTGACTGGTTTGAATGAATTATATAAGCATGTAATATTTTAAAGCCTATGTATTTTAGAGAATGCCTTTGCCCCCAATAGTTAAAAAACTATTAAATAATTCTACCCCATCCTACCTGGATAATTAAAAAGCTAAGGGTCCCCATCTGCCAGGAGATAGCATGTGAGGGAGGCTGATGTCACAGGAGACAAGCATTTAATTCTTAATTTCTTTTTAAATATATTATACATAATTTTTATTAAAGATTTTTTTAAAAAATAGAAACATACAAATTGATAAAAGGAAGAAAAAAGGGGGAAGGGAAAAAATGGCGATTTGATACAACGTTCTGTCCCTGCTTTCACCAGAGATTGAGATAAACTGGAAAGCATTTTTGCCTTTTATGGTAGGATAGTCTTCTGCCTGATACTTGTAAGCAGTCTGTCCCAGTCAGCGTTATTAATATGTAACTTCCAACTTTTGATTTGCATTTGTTGGATTTTTTTAATTATTATTTTTTTAAATAAAAAGAGGAATCTCACATTGGGGTAACTAAAGAAAAAAACCTGAGCTTACAATGTCAACATCTGGATTATAAATTCTCATTTCTTTGAAGAAAACGTTATTCCTGAATTGAAAAAGCGGTTTGTTTTATCTTCTACTATAAATCCAACATACAAAAGTGGAGAGAAGAATCTTGTTTTCATTGTAGCTTTATATCCTATTCAGGTATTCCTCTAAAATTAGACCTACTATATATGAGGTAAATTTACTTTGCCTCAGTGAGGTGTTTTGAACTGATCATCAATGGGGCCAAAAGGCCACCCAATTATTCTTTATTTTGCCCCAAAGTCTGAACCCAAGAAGATCATGCTACTTCTTTGCCCTGAGCTCCCCTCATCTTGGTCTTAGAAGTGAGAAGGCAATGTTGGTTTATAAAGAAAATTGAAGAGAATGGGACATTTCAAATATGTCTTTGAAGATCTCTACAGATCTTTTAAACATATAATTAAAGTACTGCACAGGAGACAGCAAAGTAATGGTGTTCCTCCTCTAAATCTTTTTTAATGCTAATTCTTCACATCTGCTGATTCCAAGAATCTGCACTGATTTTCAGGCATCATGGCACTATCTCTAAATACTTTCCCAGATTATTTCCCAATTAAATATATTGCATCAAAATTTTTATCTAAATTCCATGCCACCAGGATGTTATAAACTGAACTGACATGGTTTCAGCATAAGATTGGATCTATTTAATCTCTTATTTCTATAAATCGATTTTGCAATTTCTATAAAATAATTGTCTGGGTAAAAGTATCAAGGCAGGCCAATTGTTATAAATAGATAACTTGTTAGAAGAATACCTTCATTTTTCCAAAATTAGGCATAGTATTATTCATAAATGGTGCCTGGCCTTCATGAAATCAGATATTCTATCTTGAGATCTTGTTTTTTAATCCTGAGCTGATAGGGCATGGCAGGCTTTGTTGTCTTCTCTTTGGCAAGGAGACAGATGCACTTTAAGCATCCATTATTGTGGCCATTTTTATGTTAGTATTCAGCCTAAACACTGACAGCAGTTTTGAGGTCTGAAATGTAATGAGTCCAAGGATACCGTTTGCAAAATAACAAGGAGGAACACACAAGGCAAGAGGCAAAATAGAAAGGAGCCTAACTTGATTAATTAATCAAAAGAGACACAACAAATAAATCCAACTCAACTAACCAACTCATGAGTGTGGGTAGCTGATGCTCTTGAGAGCTAGTCCCATCTTCCTTATAATTTTTTTAAAAAATATTTTTCGTCAAATTTATGTATCTGCTCAACTCATCTCTTCCAACTCAGTTATGGAGACAATACAATTTATCTGTAGGCTTTTGGCAGCCATTCTGTACCCAATAAAGCCAATTGGAGTCACCGCTGTCTTTAGGTCAATTAGACCTGGGTGAATAGAACAGGCAAATGCCAGTGGCCTATCCATTTTGGTCACTGCAGGCTCAGAGATTAAATATGAGAAATTGCTTGGGACTGGTCTAACGTGCTTTCTCGCCCTCAACACACATTTCACACAGTCAAATGTCCAAGCTAAACATTTGCCGAGCGCTAACAAAGCGAAAGCCTGAGATAGGAAAAGTCATAATAAGAATTGTCAGAACATTCTGCTAGTGATCCTTTTTGCACCCAGAGTTCCTGAAAAATACCATCTTCCAATTCTGGTGCAAAATTAGGGCCAGCTTCTTATAATGTAAGTTATAAAAGATATGTCCTGAACTGAAAACACCATCCTGCATGCCACAAACACCACAAATGGGCCTGGTGGCTCAGCAGACTAAAAGCATTGTGATTAACACCAGCTGTCTGCAATTACTGTAAATTCGAATCTCACCAGGCTCAAGGTTGACTCAGCCTTCCATCCTTTCTAAGGTAGGTAAAATGAGGACCCAGTTTGTGGGGGCAATAAGCTGACTTTGTATAAATATACAAAAGTATGAAGGCTATTGCTTAACGCATTGTAAGCCGCCCTGAGTCTCCGGAGAAGGGCGGCATATAAATCAAATTAAAAAAAACAAACAGTTGATTTAGTGGGATCTAGAGATGGAATGATCATCTTAAGAAAATTTGCCACATATGTTCTTCTTGGCTTTTAGGTGCTTGCTAACAAAGGATATTTCAAAATGACCATCAGATCATTAGTATTTCTTATATTACTATTAACATGCTCTGATGCTAATTAGTTAGACATTCTACTCTCCCTCTCAACCTGAAAATAAGAGAACATGATAGGATAGGAGAAACTTCTGTAGGGCAAGGCTGAGGGAGAGAAGGGGATAGGATAGAAAGAGCTTCTGTGGGGGAATCCTGAGGGAGAGAAGGGAGATAGGATGTGGGGGGGGGCTTCTCTTGGGCAAACCTGAGGGAGCGAAGGGGGATAGGATACGGGAGGCTTCTGTGGGGCAAGCCTGAGGGAGAGAAGGGGAGAGGAGGGGCCGATCGTAACTACTCATTAATTTTCAAGTTGTAAGTGTCGATTTATCAAGCCCAATCACATAGTTTCGTAGTGGAGCACGGGTATTCAGCTAGTTAATCATATAGGCAAGAATCTTTAAACCAGACTTCTCCAACCATACCTTCCAGGTATGTTGTACCATTCAGATATGAAGTCTTTCTGGAAGGCATCAAATTGTGGAAGGCTTATTCGACGTACCATGACCAATTTCTGATTTCACAGAGGATAATGCCATAAGATGACTGGCATGATTTCCCCACTCCATCACATTCAGAATTGTAGCTTCTCAGTCAATTAGAAAGACTGCATCCAAGTAGAGAACTTTCTGATGTTGTCCTCACCTGCTTCAAATGCCATCTCCACATATCAGCTTTGCAAGCTTCCTAATCACAGGTCTATCAATAATTCAGGGCCCATCAGCTATACTCCGAAGGGCGGGCTCTTACCCTGCACTTTGGTGCTGTCAGCAAATAATGTGCCGTACAGAGATTCTCCATTTCAAATCCCAGGGCAGCAGGCCAAGTCTAGGCTAGTATTGTATTTTCAATTAGCTTCTGAGTGAACGCTTGGCATCTGCTGAAGGGAATCTGCACACAATTAGCTTCTTGTTCCTTTCAGCTTGGTGCTGAGTGGATGATCTGGACAACTGGAGGAGGAAGAACAGCATCTCTGAGTAGGGACGTTGCTGTGGATGTAGAAGGAAGAAGGGGATTTTGCAGCTCTGTTCTCTACCTCAGAAATTATTGTGATTGTTAGGGGAGCGCTGGGCTTCAAGGAGTTTGCCAGGAGATAAGAAGAGAAGGAACTTTCTTGTCTCTTCTTTCAGCAGGCCAGATCTTCCCCTCCCCCTACTTCTGCTATTCCTAAATACTGCCATGGAACCAAACAGTCCTAAAAAGATACAATTCGCTGTGCCATTATTTCAAAGTCAAATAGATTCTGAAGCAGCTGAACAGGTAAGCTGGTTTTATCTTCACTGCCTATGAAAGAAGATAAAGATTGTTATAGGGACCATGTTTCTAAATGTGGAAAGTGGAGGGCAACTTTGCAGAAGTTCAGGGATTTTATAAGAATTCTCTGTCATTGAAAGAGAGAAGGAAAGAAAGAGAAAGAAGAGAAGGGAGGAGATTTGTCTTTAGGATACTCTAGGTGAGTGTTTTTTCTGAGCAAACCTTTTTCTCTAAAAAGAGAAATATTCCAATAGTAGGCTTGGGACTTTTGTATATAAAAATTGTTGATGGTATTTAATGCTAGCAGATTGATTGATAGGTAAGAAGATAGTTCAGTTGAAAGGCTATAAATGACAGATTGGATGAAAGGATTTCCTGCATCTTCAAATGGAGAAAGCATGTCAAGAAAGGGGTATTATTTTGAGATATTCAATATTTTCAAGGCAATTTCTGAGCAGTCACATTAATAGCCTAAATTTATGTTATCATATTTTCAAGACAATACAATACCATCAGCATCATAGAACAAACATTGATATAGGTTGAAACCATCTTCTCTTTGACTGTTTGAATTTTTTTTTTAATTATTTATATGCCGCCTTTCTCCGGAGACTCAGGGCGGCTTACAATGCATTAAGCAATAGCCTTCATACTTTTGTATATTTTATACAAAGTCAGCTTATTGCCCCCACAAACCGGGTCCTCATTTTACCTACCTTAGAAAGGATGGAAGGCTGAGTCAACCTTGAGCCTGGTGAGAATTGAACTTGCAGTAATTGCAGGCAGCTGGAAGCTAAATACTACCTTTAACAGTAGCATTAGTCTGCTGCGCCACTCAGGCTCCTGGTATGTTCCCCTCACTGACAGTGCTTGGTTATACCTGCAGATCAGGATGTTTCTTGGAATTGCTTCTCAGACTTAGAGTTCAGCTTTTGATATTCAGAATGGACTAACCTAGTTCCACCGTTAACAACATTAACAGTGGAACTAAATCAAATTTAGTTCCACTGTTAATGTTGTAGCTGAGATGACCACTACGAAAAGAACCATCACTAGAAGGATGACAGCCCTAGAAAACAAACAAAGCCTGAGTAGAATGAGATATTCTTATGCAGAAAACATTTTAGATGCTATTCTCCTACTCAAGATAAGCTTCCTATCTCATCCCTCTCCTATAAATAAATATACTTTCTGAGTGAAAAATGCATGGCTTTCAAGATACCAATTTCTTTAGTCATCTTTCTGTATGTAGATGTAGAAATTCCTAGTATTAAGGTCATATGCTATTTCTTTGACTCAGTACACTGTAGAGCTACAACGGATTATAACTCTCCAAATAATCAGCCAATGAGAGTTTTTTAAGGAATGTTGGGAGCTGAAGTCATGTTAGATCTGGGAGTACTAAATTGAGAAGGGCTGTATTTTCTCCCGTTTAATGTCGTGTGGCATAAGACATCCATATCATTATAGAGTTTCCATATAATGGATGATTCTTGGGCAAAGTATTGGATTTTGTGCAAATATAACATTATGCTTCTTGGCTATTAAGAGGACACGATAATGACTTTCAGTGACTTACAATAGATTAATGCAACTGTGATTTCTTTTTCCTGCTTTCAACCCTTGATGTCTGTAGTCTAAACCAAATGGCTTTTGAAATGATTTTCCATTACTAAAAGCAATTTGTGGTATGCTATAAGGAGCAAATGCTTATTCCTACAATGTCTCCTGATATCAGAAAAATGATTTGGGCCCACATCTGACTGATCACCAAAGAGCTAGGAAGTCAATCAGTATGACACAATGAAATCCAGCTTTTTGGAAATCCAGGTGTCCAGTATTTTCAGTCAGGGTTGGCATTGGTGGGGTGGGTAGTATCACAGTGAGAATAAGTAAATGTTGCATAGTTGTGAGAAAGGCCATGTGTGGGATGGAAACCACACACAGACCCAGGGATTCATGCTCCTTCCACAACACTTGATCAGGAGACTTGATTATTCTTGGCCTTTGGGGTCTTACTGAATTTGAAATCCAGCACAATACGGAAAACTAAAAAAAAAAAAGAAAGAAAGAAAGAAGTGATATACTAGTAATACTGATGATGATGATATGCTTTCAGCTGTGTCTGATTCTTGGCAATTCTGTGTGCCACATCTCCCCGCATCTTCCGATCTTGCACTATTTCCTTGAGTTTTTATATGCTCTGGCTGGTGTCAGTTTTGATGGTATTAGTAATACGAACAGTGCAAATTCATGGTAACCTGCTGTGTTTTGTTCTTGAACTAGAAAGCAGAATCAGCTTGTTCTGATTTTGATGGTGATTAAAAGAAGTCAATGATTTGAATAATTATCTCTATTTGTCTTAGCTTAGTAACTTCTCATGAACTGTGAATTTAGAGACATAGCTGCTTGCATTTATATTTGATCCATCTGCCTGTACCTATGATTTCTGCAGATCAGGAAAAGAAGGCCCACCCCGGCATCGTTAGTAATTATGAATGATTCGTCTCCTGGTAAGTCCATGTTATGGTTTTCTAAGTGTTTGATGAGATTAAAAAAAAAATTATAAAGAACTAGAAATAGATGTAAAATGGTAGAATGATGGCAAAAGAAAGAAAGAAAGAGAAAGAAAGAAAGAAAGAAAGAAAGAAAGAAAGAAAGAAAGAAAGAAAGAAAGAAAGAAAGAAAGAAAGAAAGAAAGACCTACACTTTCTTGTGCTTATCAACCTTGTGGATATGAGAAAGAAACAATTTCTGCTCCTAACCTCACAGATGCTTTTTCACTAGCCATGTTTATATAGTGATTAAGGTGCTAGACTAGGAGTAGAGAGACCCAGATTTTAGGTCTACCTTAAGCAGGGAAGCCAACTGGGTAATTTTGGGCCAATCACTGTCTCTCAACTGTATGAAGAAGTCAATTACAAACTACTTCTGAAATATTGTCAGGAAAACTGTGGGAACCCCTTCTGTGTAGTTGCAGGAATCAAGAGTGATTTGAAGACACCAATTAAAAATCAAACCCCACTGATGTGACAGACTGGGATTAAAAGTATCCATAAAACCAAGCATGGTCTTTAAGGGTTAGAAGATTTTGTTTAAATCATAAGTCCATTCCATTCTATAAGAATTATAAAAATTCTATTATAATGTTCCTGTTTACACACACACACACACACACACACACACATCAATAAATAAGAAAGGAGGGGAAAAAACTAAGACCGACTAAGGGAAATAATACAGTATAAAAGGATGCAACAAAAGTCAGGCTCCATAGGCCTAGCACAATATATTTTTTCAGAGAAAATGTTACTAAGGAAGGTTCAAGGACTACATGCCAAACAAGTAAAGAACTATTTAGAAGAAAACGGAAACCAATTTGAACATTTAATGTTAATTTGCATAATAAATTATCTGCGGGATCTGACTTTTGGTATACCCTGTGTATAAATGACCTGATAGCATAAACACCAATACTTAAAAACCAGTGGAAGACCATAATGTTTCCTTGGGACATTTTTTCATAAACTTCAGGGTAGCCACCTTGGAAAAAAAGAAATTACAAAGAGCTAAATAATTGAATGAGAATTCATCGGGGAAGTTAAGATTTTATTTTTACATTCCAGTCAGACTACATGTGTTAACTAATTTATCAGTAATTACACTGTGGTTCATTACTGCTTTTCTAATAGTCACAATCTAGGGATAATTTTGCTTCTCACCTTTCCTTTCTCCCCTCAACCATTCTCCATTTCTAATTTTCCATTCTTACTCTTATCCGAACCTACTTTCTCTAAAAACCCTAACCTTTTTTTAGCACTGTACCAAGTGTATTTAATGAAATGTACTGCAATCCACAAAAACTTTGGCCAGAGATTAGTAAACTTTTCAGACTTCAGACACCATCCTATAATTTTACAAATGGTCATGGGTGTCAAACTCGTGGCATCACATTGCTGTCACATGACGTTTTACGATGTTTTTTTCCCTTCGCGGAGCTGGGGTGGGCATGGCCTGTATGTGACACATCTGGCTCGCAGGCCACCAGTTTGACACCCTGGTGCAGATGAACAGAAATAAATGAAAATAAGACATTTTTAAAAAGCATTTGACATCTCTTGAGACTGCCAATTGAAATCTTGCAAATGGAGCACTGAACTCTCACAAGACTTAATAATCTTCTTTGACCGGATGTTAAGCAAGCAATGTAGTCATTTACTCCATGCTTTCAGGACACGAAGTAAAGCTTAATGCTGTATCTTCTCAATTACTGTTCCAAATCTTCTCTCATCTTGATGAGGATGGCAGAATTTCTTCCCCACACTTTCAGAGAGAATCTACCCCTTGAATGAAATCTACCCTGTTAGATTTCTACCCCTTGAATGAAATACTACCCTGATTTCTACCCCTTGAATGAAATACTACCCTGTTTTTCTGAATTCGTTAACTCTCTAATATCTGCACCATTGTTCCTTTCTCTGTACAGGATAGTGCCTCCATATTGTCTGTAATAATCCATAAATCCATATGTGGGTTCCTTGGCACTCTTCTTGATCATATTTGCCCAAATTTAGCAATAAAATGCCAAGAACAAAAATACAGTTTTCCTTGGGTATCTGTGAGGGCTGGGAATAATGTAACATGGTGCAATATAATCTCTGCAGTTTTTACACTTGCGTTGTGATATCAAGATGCATGTTTCGTCCTTTTGACAAACACTCAGTTTGCTATTGTTGTTCCTGCAATCTTTCTTCAAGAAGATTTTTATATTCTCAGTCTTTAAAAGATTTAAATTATTAACATTTCCTGTAATTAATAATTATGTGCCTTCAATTCAGTCTTGACTCCTGGTAATTGCCTGGATAAACCCTTACAGTTTTCTTGGCAAGATTTCCCAAACTGGGTTGCCCTGGCCTTCTTATGGTTAAGGGAGGGGAGAAGGACTGGCTGAAGGATATCCACCTGGCTTCATTCCTAAGGCCGGACTAGAACTCACAATGTGACATTAAAATGGTTTTCAATGTTTCCTTCAATGACTCCAAAATATCTAGGAAAGCTGGAAAAATAAATAGCAGTTTCTCTCTACTAATCTATGAAAAGCAAAGCTATGTAAACAAACTGTACAATTGCTCTAGCAAGACGTTTATGGAAAAATGTGTGGAACTATAGGTACAACTCAGAGATATCTTAAGAAGAGTGCTGTACACAACAATTTTCCAAAACTGGCATGTACAGTGTTTTCCTCAATTTCAGACAACCCCGAATCAAATAATGGTTAATATTTGCATTGATGGTTGGTGTTGGCTTCAAGGTGACATGTTGCCCTGAAAATACAGTTAGAACATATATATTAAACTAAAGTATTACATATCTACCAATACATTATACAACCCAAAGCAACATTTGCCTCTGAGATTTCTGGCATTTCTACGTAGGTGTTTGATGACTGCAATTGCTGACAGCTCTGCCTGGAACTGTGATACAAAAGAGCTTTCAGTATGTTAATGTCAATGCAATAAATATGTTTTTTTCCATCTGAGATGTACAGCAGCTCAGCAGTCAGCCAAATCCTACTCCTTATTCCATGCCCTCAAAGTCATGTTACTGACAGATTTCCTAATCAATTTTTACCACTGTCCATTTAAAAGCTATTTGCAAAGCAATCTCATTTCTCTCTTACTGATATTTATTCCACATTTTCTATAAAAGCTTTGCAGCATTTCATACCCATTAAGCATTACTAGACTAGTGGGTTCCAGCTCTGGCAAATTGACCCTGCTCGGACACTCAATGGAGGTCGGGTAACAAGAGGCCACTTTTTCCTCTCAAACAAAATCTACTTTCAAGGAGGGGCAGTATTAGCAAATGACCATGAAAGTTTTTAAAACTATAGTAGAGCATCACACAAGAATGCAACAAAATTGTTGTTGCTGCTATTTTCTGCTCCTACATCAGTGGTGGGTTGCTACCAGTTCTACCCGGATTGGCGAACCGGTAGCGGCGGCAGTAGGAGGCTCCGCCCACCCACACCAGACACTTCTGTGCATGCGCAGAAGCATCACTCATGCACGTGCGCGCGTATGAGCAAAGCAGTAGCAACAGGTTTTGCAACCACTACATCCACTGAAGGAATGTATAATTTAAAATTAACCAAAACGTTATGGAAGCTATTTAGAAAAACATTATGAATGAGTGTGAATCAGGGATGGCAAGAATAAGAATAAGAATAATTTTATTTCTATACCGCCCTTCTCCCGAAGGACTCAGGACGGTGTACAGCCTATTAAAAACACAAGACAACATCAGTTAAAATAGTTTAAAATTATTAAATAAATTCAGCTCGATTTAAAACCCCAGAAATTTAAAACCCAATTTAAAATTGTTATGTTGATAGACCAGCCTGGCGGAACAACAGGGTCTTGAGTGCACAACGAAACACCCGGAGGTCGGAGACCTTACATATTTCCAGGGGCAGTTCGTTCCACAGGGCAGGGGCTCCCACAGAGAAGGCCCTCCCCCTGAGTGTCGCCAGCCGACATAACTTGGCTGATGGCACCCTAAGATGCTCTGTGGGAGCGAACTGGCCGGTAGGAGGCTATTGGTGGCAGAAGTCGGTCTTGAAGGTAACTTTTAGTTGTTAGTACCTTTTCAGTACCTAATCAGTAACTTTTAGATGTTAGTACACAACTTCAGTAATTTCTAATGGAGGTGAGGCTCATATTCAGAATTCCCAGTCCTGAAGCAGACCATAAAAAACTGGATTGATTTTAAGTGAGAAGATACTTTTGGATCCAGAAATTATACAAGCCAATTTTTTGCCCAACAAAAATTCCTGGTATGCCAGCAGAAGCAACGTACGTAACAGGAGATTGGGAGAAGTTGGACTTTAAGCCCAATCTGGCAGGCTCTTCCAATGTACATATTGGCTCGCGAGCCTGAGACATGAAGTAATTGAGCAAGTTGTGGCAAGCCCAACTTCAGAATGTCTTTAGGCAATCAAGGGGAAGGGAAGAAGATACATCTTCTAGCCATGTGCTTAGAGATGGAGATGGAAATCTCTTGGCCATCTCAAAGTCTTCTGGAAAGCCACATAACCTCATGGTTAACTCAATAGAAACATTCTACTGGGAGAAATTGTTTCAGCCTTCATCCCAAGAAAAATGAAACACTTGTGAAAGCCAAGCATTGGATTACCTGGACCAAGATTCTTTGTCCATAGAAGAAGCTTCAAACCCACAAAGTGGGCACAAAATATTCTGCTTGAGACACAGCAGCGAAGTTACTAACCATGGAACTCAGAGATGGTTGTGTTATTTCCACTCCTGTGGAAGCAAATAATTAAAAATCACACTAAATTGTTTAAAGCTTGGCAAGACACTTGGCTTCAAGGAATGGGCTCATGGAACATGAAAAAAATTGACTGGAAATGATTCCTTTGCATGCTTTAACTTGTTGAATGATTATTATAAAGAGCCCACTTATTTTTCATGGAACATATGTCTTGTTCTCAGAA